GAAAGAGTAGTGGGAGGTAGGATCAGCAGTATGCATATCACTTAGGGGTTGTTTAAGTAACAAGAAGGAGGATATACTTTATTCTGTGGAATAATGGAAGCAGGAAAGTGACATGATCTGACTGATTTTTAAGAGAATGTTCTGGTTGCTGGAGAATAGACTATAGGGAACTAAGAAGCAAGGGGACCTGTTAGGAAGCTAGTGCCGTAGTCTGGTGAGAAATGTAAGGGTTTGGATTAGTTGGAAGTCGGGAAGCTGAAAAAAGGGAGAAAAGCAGTATCTTTTGTCCTCCATTGTCTCAGGATTTTGGTCATGCATGCACCCATGCCCAACATGATTTACAAGCCACTGGGTCTGGTACTCTAACCAGGGTTGACCATGTTAGAGTCCAGTGCTTTAACCACTTGGATTTTTAAAATTTATATATTTTTTGGATTTTAAAAATTTACATATTTTTTAGAGGTCTTTGCCTTGGGGCACATGTGCTCATGGGCTTGGGGGCAGGACATGAGGGGACAGAGACAGCAAGCGGGAAAGTGAGAAATTACCCCCCCAGGGGAGGATGGCCACACCTCAGTCCTTTCTCCATTCTCCTCCCAGGACCTTGGGCATGCACGCATACACATTTGGCATGATTTTGAAGCCAGTGGGTCTGAGACTTGAACCGTGGTCGGCCATATGGGGGTCCAGTGACGTAACTGCTGCACTATCTGCTAGCCTTGTACTTGGATCCTTTAAATTTTATTTCAGCAGTGTCTTGAAGATTTTGTTGTAGAAATAATTTTCTTTTAAATTCATTTCTAGGTATCTAGATTTTTTGGTGCTATTATAAATGCTAATTTTATTTATTTCATGTATAATTATTAGTGCAAGAGTAATGATAAAGGCAGCAGAGTATTAGCCAGTGAGCTTCCTGAGGAGGAGCTAATGAAGTTGAAGGGGAGACAATGGAAAGGAGGATATGATTAAATTATGAAATAGTAGAATTCTGCTATCATATAGAATAAGATAGAATGGAAGTGTAACCAATGGACTTAGAAAAGTTTTCTCTCCCAGTGTTTTGCTGTGAATGATTATTAAAGTTATTAGGGATAAGTAGGCTGGGACACAGATAAGATTTATTACCTGTTGATGAGGATGTGTATGGTGGTCTCAACTGGGCTGGACTGAGGTGTATATCATGCGGGATAAAGTATCTTCACAGTCTAGGAAGGATTTTTTTAAAAGGGTAATACTGGAGCATGCTTATATGCTGATTGAGATGATCCATTTGAGAGAAAGAAACTGATAATGTAGGGTGTTATCCAAGAATTTAGTCCTTATGGGGAATGAGACAGGAATAACCCAAGAGCTAAGTACTTGAAAGTGGAATTGGAATCCTAAATTCAGATTTATTCTTAATAGCAACAGACCCTGCACGAGGGAAAATGGAGACAGGACATACATTTGGAGTTAATGACACACTTATAAGATTTCAAGTTCAGTTATATTATTGATAATATTAAGTGGCCTACATTTGTTGAATTCTTAATACTATGCTTAGCATTATTTGAAACATTATCATTTAACCCTCATAAATCTTTCTGAGTTTGAAAGTATTTATTAATAGCATATTTTATAGGTGCAAAAACAAGCTCCAGAGAGGTTGACAAAGATCATAAACCTAATTATTAGTGGACCCAGATAGTTAAGTTCTCAAAATTTTTCATCTTGAATCTTCCAGTAACAAAGCACTGAAAAAGAAGTAGATATCCATCAGTCTTATTTTTCTTGTAAAAATAGAGTGTTGATCAAGCGGTTCTCATTAATAGACTTACTTACTTAGAGCACCAAAAATATTTTATTAATTCCCAAAGAGAGTTTCTTTAAGGATTTATTAATTTATTTGACACATGTCTAGATAGGTCAGTTTATTTTCATCACTACAAAGTAACTTTAGTAAAGTACATATATAAAATTAATTTTTTGGTCATTTGTTGTTAATAGTAAACTTTTTTGTAAGAAGATTGAGAGACTCTTTGATCCTGAGTACTTGAATCCAGATTCTCGGAGTAATGCAGCGACATTGTATAGGTATAGTAATGTGTTTTTTTTTTTTTCCTTTTATATGCTATATAATGCAGCTAAATTCTGTAATTTACCACCTTTAAATTTTTTCTTGGATTTTTTTTTTTTATCTTTGTGACATAGATGCTGTTTGTGTAAAAAACTTTTAACAAAAGAAACAGAAAGAAGAATTCCTTGCATTCCTGGAAAAATCAATGTGGATCGACATGGAAACATTATCTATATCCACATAAGGTATAGTAAAGATAAAACACAGCTTTTTAATGTGAATTTATTGTGTATTTATAAGATATAACTGTACTTAGAAAAAACAGGATAGGGCCAGCTGGTGGTGTGGATCCCATGTGACCAGCTTTGCAGTCCTGGACCCAGTGGCTTGGAAAACATGCCAGACACTTGTGTATGCATGTGAAAAATCCTGCGAGGAGAGTGGAGGAAAGTGGTTGTGGTGTGACCATCCTCCCTGGGGGTGATTTCTCACTTTTCCTGTCTCTCCAGTAAGCACACACACTTTATAGCAAAACTGAAAGGAAGGAAGGAAAGGAGGGAGGGAGGGAAGGAAGGAAGGAAGGGAAGGAAGGAAAGAAGGAAACCAAGATAGAAACTAAGAAAGAAAGAAAGAAAGCAGGTTAATGTCCTTTTTGCATATAATTTACTTTGATTTAGAAAGATGCTACTTTCAAAACAACGATGCTCTGGAAACTCTATTTTATTTCCTTGATAAATGTCAAGGTGTTTTTGTATTTTAAAATGGTAAGAATTGGCCCATCTGCAGTGGCAGAGGCTGTAGTATGCTAATGTGCAGTGCTGGAAGCCACTTGGCTAGGCTCCAAGTTGACCTGAAGTATACCATGCACACCCAAGACCCTGACTGGCTAGAGAGCTAGGGACAAGACCCAGTTGAGGGTGCCTGTCTCTCTCGTACACCACTGCACACTCTTT